AAAAAAGCAGAGTGCAGCACAGCAGAAATAATCCCCTTTATAGCTCCTTAAAAAAAAAAAAGGCTCTTGTGAATCAATACAAGCAAACACAGGCACTAACTAAAATGCTGGGAGTGGGATGGCACAGATTCCTTGGATATAATAGGACGTTTCTATTTAGATTATAGTATGTGGTACTTTTAAAGCAGCTCTCGGAGTTCTAGAGCTTCCACCTCTAGGCAGGCTCCTCCTGCCCCTTGAACACAGAGCCCTGGGTCTACCACATCCTCTCCTGTCTTCCAGCTGATACAGACTTAGATAATTCCATTTTGTGATTTAATATTAGATGGTGGCGGGGCGCGGTGGCTCAGGCCTGTAATCCCAGCACTTTGGGAGGCCGAAGTGGGTGGATCACGAGGTCAAGAGATCGAGACCATCCTGGGTAACATGGTGAAACCCCGTCTCTATTAAAAATACAAAAACTTAGCTGGGTGTGATGGCGGGCGCCTGTAGTCCCAGCTACTTGGGAGGCTGAGGCAGGAGAATGGCGTGAACCCGGGAGGCGGAGCTTGCAGTGAGCCGAGATCGCGCCACTGCACTCCAACCTGGGCGACAGAGCGAGACTCCGTCTCAAAACAAACAAACAAACCAAAAAAAATTAGATGGAGGTGGGGTGGCTCACGCCTGTAATCCCGGCACTTTGGGAGGCTGAGGCTGGAGGATGCCTTGAGCCCAGGAGTTCACGGCTGCAGTGAGCTATGATCACACCACTGCACTCCAGCCTAGGTGACTGAGTGAGACCTTGTCTCTAAATAAAGACCAAAAAATAACAATGGATTAAACCAAAGTATTTTCTTTCCCACATAAGAGTCTGGGCATAGCCAACTACAGATGAGCTCAACCAGCCCCACGTGTCAGCCCCCCAGGCTCCTTCTGCTGGTTGTTCTGCTGTCCTGAGTAGGTTGACCTTTTCCATTGGTCCAAGATTGCTCCCCAACCCGTGGAGGGGAACAGAATGAAGGGGAGGGCTGGGCGCAGTGGCTCACACCTGTAATCCCATCACTCTGGGAGGCTGAGGCAGGTGGATCACTTGAGGCCAGGAGTTCGGGACCAGCCTGGCCAACATGGTGAAACCCTGTCTCTACTAAAAATACAAAAATTAGGCTGGGCGTGGTGGCTCACACCTGTACTCCCAGCACTTTGGGAGGGCAAGGTGGGCGGGTCACCTGAGGTTGAGAGTTGGAGACCAGCCTGACCAACATGGAGAAACCCCATCTCTACTAAAAATACAGAATTAGGCAGGCATGGTGGCGCATGCCTGTAGTTCTAGCTACTCGGGAGGCTGAGGCAGGAGAATCACCTGAACCTGGGAGGCGGAGGTTGCAGTGAGCCAAGATCGTGCCATTGCACTCCAGCCTGGGCAACAAGAGCGAAACTCTGTCTCAAAACAAACAAACAAAAATTAGCTGGACATAGCTGCACACACCTCTATTCCCAACTACTTGGGAGATTGAGGCAGGAGAATCACTTGAACCTGGGAGGCAGAGGTAACAGTGAGCTGAGATTGCATCTCTGCACTCCAGTCTGGGAGACAGTGAGACCCTGTCTCAAAAAAAAAAAAAAAAAAAAAGAATGAAGGGGAGGCCACGCATGCCCCCTTTTTTTCAGAAGGCACATAGATCATTTCTGTTCACATCCTACTGACCATAGATCAGTCACATGACTGCTAGAAGAAAACTGAAATTTAGGGACGGTACAGGGCTTTGCCATATGCCCTTATCAGAGGTGCCTTCATTGAGACTATTTGGGGACAATTATCTGTGCAAGTCTTTGCTGCTGTCCCCAGCCTTCCCCCAACACACATATTCCTTAACCTTAGATTTTAAAGTTTTAGAGGCCAGAGAGCAAATCCACTTATTTATAGACATGCAGTTGTAAGGGACATGAGAACAATCTGTGAAGATGGCATTCGGAGCAGAGAACATGTAGGGTGTTAGTCCCCCGCAATGACGCCCCAAGTGACCTCATGCAGGTCACACTCCCTCTGCCTCTCAGTGTCCTGGTAAATGATGAGCAAAATGGCGCCTCCTTCCCAGATTTACTGTGAGGATTAACTGAGTTGGCGTGTATCAGATCCCGGTCCAGGGCCAGCCGATGCTGAAGTCCGAGGAGAGTGGGTGGATGAGCAGATAAGCAGATATGCTTTTGGGCAGGGGGGCCTAGGCAGGTGAATATGGTTTTATTCAGCAGCAGTTCCCATCAGTGGCTTTTCATTAGCAGCTTACTCACATTAGCTCTCTCGCCCTGTCCACCTTTACCTCGGCTATTTGCTTCTGCTCTGTGGCTCCTGCGACCCCCACGCCTGCAGCTGCACAGCCGGCTCTCCCTTGTCTTCAGGGTCAGCAGCTTAACTCTTTCTCTCTCTGGCACAAGTAAGCAGAGCTGTGTCCTGGCTCTCTCCTGTCTGTCTACAAGATGGACAGTTTTGGCTGTCTCCCTTTCTCTGGGCACAAGCACAACCACCACATTAAGCCACGTCGAGCCGAGCCGAACCTCAAGAGCACCTGTATAGCGTCAGCGGGGCAGTTATACCTTTTACAGACAATAGTGCCTTAGAGCCAAGTATGAACTTACACAAACAGGTTATGTAACAAGTGGAGGTGTGCGCCTGTGCACCAAACTCCCTGAGTCGTGCAGGCCTGGATATCTGCCTTGGCCTCTACCTTGACCAAAGCACATCCAGGTACCTTATGGTGCCTTACAGTGTGCATGATGCTTGGCCAAGCACACGCACCCAACACACGTGAGCCATTGTTAGTAACAGTAGCACCAGGTGAGCCTCTTTGACTTAATGGACTGAGTCATCAAAGGCGAATGAAAATCATCAAGTCAGCATCAGTCCAAGACTAAGAAGAGCTCAACTGAAGAAAGCAGTGAGACAAGCACCATGTATAGCCCTTTTTCCTACTGTTCTCTTTCTCCTTCCCTCCCTGGGGATATATGTCCTTAGCCCTTGGGTGCCTCCATTGTCTTTATCAAAAAGAACACTAGATTTCAGTCTTCATTTAATGTTAATGAAAAAGTTTCAAATTTTATCAATCCCTGAGTTTTCTGCTTTTTTTTGTTTTTTGTTTTTTGTTTTAGACAGGATTTCACTGTCACTCAGGCTGGATTGCAAGGGCGTGATCTCGGCTCACTGCAGCCTCTGACTCATGAGTTCAAGCGATCATCCTACCTCAGCCTCCCAAGTAGCTGGGACCACAGGCATGCACCACCATACCTAGCTAATTATTTTTGTATTTTTTTAGTAGAGACCGGATTTCACCCTGTTGCCCAGGCTGGTCTCAAACTCCTGGGCTCAAGTGATCTGCCCACCTCAGCCTCCCAAGGATATGAGCCACCATGCCCAGCCAATTGTCTGCATTTTATCAAGGATCAAATTATTAAACCAAAAGAATGAAGCTTTCAATATGAAATGCATGCATCATTAAAAATGTAAAGAAGTATTTTCAAAAATGTATTCTAACTGGGCCTTCCTTCATATCTTTATTTGTATTTGTTTTTTGTTTTGAGACATAGCCTTTCTCTGTCACCCAGGCTGGAGTGCATGGCACGACCTCGGTTCACTGCAACCTCCGCCTCCTGGGTTCAAGCCATTCTCATGTCTCAGCCTCCTGAGAAGCTGGTATTACAGGTGTGTGCCACCACGCCCAGCTAATTTTTGTATTTTTAGTAGAGACAGGGTTTCACCATGTTGGACAGGCTGGTCTCAAAATCCTGGCCTCAACTGATCCGCCCGCCTCAGCTTCCAAAGTGCTGGAATTACAGGCGCGAGCCACCATGCCCAGTCTGTATCTTTATATTTGTTCTCTTTTTTTTTTTTTTTTTTTGAGATGGAGTTTCGCTCTTGTTGCCCAGGTTGGAGTGCAATGACACAATCTTGGCTCATTGCAACCTCTGCCTCCTGGGTTCAAGCAATTCTCCTGCCTCAGCCTCCTGAGTAGCTGGGATTACAAGCACCTGCCACCATGCCCAGCTGATTTTGCATTTTCAGTAGAGACGGGATTTCACTATGTTGGTCAGGCTGATCTCAAACTCCCGACCTCGGGTGAGCCACCCCCCTCGGCTTCCCAAAGTGCTGAGATTACAGGTGTGAGCCATCACACCCGGATGGGTCTTTATAATTTTTTTATAATTAAGACATTTTCTGTCCCTTTCATGGCTATATCTTGTTAATTCAAGTTCTATTCAGCATCTCAAATAGGTCCACTTTCAGCAAGCCCCCCAACGGCCACCAGGCAAGCTCCAGTCATGGTCCTCTTGTTCCAGGTACTGTGGCTGCACAGCAGATTACCCTCAAATCTAGCTGTGTAAAGCAGCCCTTTGTTATGTTCACGGATTCTATGGCTAGGAATTCAGACAGGGTCCAGCAGTGATGGCCTGTCTCTGCTCCCAGGGATTGGGGATTGCAACTGGAAGATTTGAAGGCTGAAATCACCCATGTCTGGCAGATGCTGCTGGCTGACAACCTCAGTTCCTCCTCATGTGGGCCTCTCCCTGGGTCTCTCCATGTCGGCTGGTGTGAGCTGAGAGAGAGAGAGGGAGGCAGAGCCTGGCAAGGCCATGTTGCCTGTCATAGCCTAACTTACTTTTTTATTTATTTACTTATTTATTGAGACAGGGTCTTGCTCTGTTCCAGTCTAGAGTGCAGTGGCACAATCTCAGCTCACTGCAACCTCTGCCTCCCTGGTTCAAGCAATTCTCCTGCCTCAACATTCCAAGTAGCTGGAACTACAGACACATGCCACCAAGCTTGGCTAATTTTTTTTTTTTTTTGTATTTTTAGTAGAGATGGAGTTTCATCATTTTGCCCAGGCTGGTCTTGAACTCCTGACCTCAGGTGATCTACCCACCTTGGCCTCTCAAAGTGCTGGGATTACATGAGTGAGCTACAGTGCCCAGCCTCATAGCCTCATAGCCTCATAGCCTCATAGCCTAGCTTTGGAACTCACATGGCATGTGGTTCTATAGTGAAGTGGTTATCACATCTGCTTTACACACAGAAGGTCCTGGGTTCAAGTCCTGGTGGAGCCATGGTGAGGTCTACTATTTTCTCACCTGTCGTGGGATGCTGAGGCAGGAGAATCACTTGAACCCAGACGCAGACATTGCAGTGAGCTGAGATCTGGTGAAACTCTGTCTCCAAAAAAAAAAAAAAAAGAAAGAAAGTCATACAGTGTCCCTTTGCCACATTCATTTGTCAAGGCAGTCAAAAAGTCTCGCCGGGGGTTCAAGGGGAGGGAAGTCGACTCTACCTCTTGAAGGGAGCGGTAAAGTTCTGCAAGAAGAGGTGGGAGTGGAAATGTGGGAGCACCTTTCAGACATGGGCTCTGCCATGTTTCCCTTTCCTGAGTTACTGGAATGGCCTCATCACTGGCCTTGGTACTTACACTTTTTTTTTTTTTTTTGAGACGGAGTTTTGCTCTTGTTACCCAGGCTGGAGTATGATGGCATTATCTCAGCTCACTGCAACTTCCGCCTCCTGGGTTCAAGCGATTCTCCTGCCTCAGCCTCCTGAGTAGCTGGGATCACAGGCGTGCACCACCACATCCGGCTAATTTTGTGTTTTCAGTAGAGACGGGGTTTCTCCATGTTGGTCAGGCTGTTCTCGAACTCCCCACCTCAGGTGATCTGCCCTCCTTGGCCTCCCAAAGTGCTGGGAGTATAGGCGTGAGCCACCGTGCCCAGTCCCACTTCGTTGTTGTTGTTGTTGTTACTGTTTTTGAGATGGAGTCTCGCTTTGTCACCAGGCTGGAGTGCAGTGGTGTGATTTCAGCTCACCTCAACCTCTGCCTCCTGGGTTCAAGTGATTCTCCTGCCTCAGCCTCCCGAGTAGCGGGGATTACAGGCACCTGCCACCACGCCTGGCTAATTTTTGTATATTTTTTAGTAGAGGTGGGGTCACCATGTTGGCCAGACTTGTCTTGAACTCCTGACCTAAAGTGATCCGCCCGCCTCAGCCTCCCAAAGTGCTGGGATTACAGGCGTGAGCCACCACACCCAGCCTACTTCTACTTTTATACTTCCCTTTCTGTGGCGCTCACAGAGCAGCTTGGGAAAACCAGAAACAGATTAGCTTGTGCCCTTCCCTGCCTCTTACTTCTCAGGGTCGAACCACCAAGGAAGCCAGGCGGACAGCCCAGTCTCTTGCCACAGACGCCTCTCACTCAACCTCTCTTCACGCCCCAGGCCTCCTTTCAGTTCCTTAAACAAAACAGACCAAGCCAATTTCCTTCCACCTCAGTGTCTTCCTGGAAATTTCTTTTCTCGACTTGTCATGAGTTTGATTCCTGTTCATTCTTCTTGCCCCAGCCTAAATGTCTCTCCCTGGACAGGCACCATCGCTGATTCTGCTCTAAAAACCCTTCCTGAACTCCTGTCATGTCACTTGTGCCAACGTGGATGAAGCTGCAGAATGTGATGTTAGGGTGAGGCAAGCCAGGCACGGAGAGACAAACACTGTAAGATCTCACTCATATGTGGCCTCTAAAAACAACAAACCTGGCGAGGCACAGTGGCTCACGCCTGTAATACCAGCACTTTGGGAGGCTGAGGTGGGCAGATCATGAGGTCAAGAGTTCGAGACCAACCTGACCAACATGGTGAAACCCCGACTCTACTAAAAATATATATATACATACATACATTTTTTTAAGAATTCCATCGCTTTTCCCTATTCTCTTGGGGCAGCCCAGAAAGGCTTTGAGCCACCTAAATTAGGCCAAAGAACCATCCATTTATGGTGGGAAGAAAGTCAGGAAAAGTTGAGGCACTGTATTTTATTTATTCTTAGGCATCCTGCTTCATCTGCTTTCAGTGGCCTGGATCAAACAACTGGAAAGCTCAAGAACAATTTTGGGGTTGCTCGTGGCTTAGGAAAGATTCACTCTCCAGGACTTGGCACAGATTCTGCTGCCTCCTCAGGGCGCAGCGCCCGTATTGACTTATTAAAAATAACGGGTAACAATAATAAAAATAAGAACTACGTTTTAATTAATAACTACATGTCTCTCTCTGACTGGTAAAGGGCTTCTAAGACTCAGAAAAATTGGCTTGAGCAAGGATCATAACTTTTCTTATTCATTAATGTAGCTCAAATGTCGAAGCATGCCCACATCATAGGGCGAGGCCAACGAATAATCCCACCACTCCTAACAGGGCCGAGCCCACTTTAGCCTGCAAGCTTTGGATACAGGGGCGGGTTTGACAAATGCACCCAAGGGAACTTGGGTAGGGACAGGAGAAGTTGGCCCGCCATTGAACCCGCTTACATGAATTTCATTCATTTCATCTTTTACAGGGAACCCTGCTCGTTTTGCAAGGGAGGGGAAGGGAGGCTGCCAGATTCTGTAGGTAACTTGCATGGGAGCCCACATAGCGGGATCAGGGGCGCTGGGTGGGGTGATTCCAAAAGCCACTTCAGACCCTGCTTTCACAGGGGTATGGCGCTCCTTGGAACCACCCCGGGGGCCTGGTTGGGTTTCTAATTCAGGACCCGGTGCCACCACATCTATTGCATCAAGAATCTCAGGGGGGCAAGCCTGGGAATCTCCTTTTGAACAAGCTCCCCGTGATTCACTGTATGCTGACATCTTCAAGACTGTACGGCTACACTGGAATTTCCTTCTCTGTCCTCTGTCTCGCTGGGACTGTCATTCTACGTCAGCATCAGGGGCATTGATGCCGGTGGGATATAGCCAGATGGAGGACGGAACAGAGCGGCAGTGATGGGGTGGCTCCCAGACCACAGCAGGCCACAGAAGTCAGCCTCAGCTGGGCTCAGCAGTGTGTCTTACACAGATCACAATCAGAACTCCAGGGAGAATCACTTGAACCCAGACGCAGGACATTGCAGTGAGCTGAGATCTGGTGAAACTCTGTCTCCAAAAAAAAAAAAGAAAGAAAGTCATCCAGTGTCCCTTTGCCACATTCATTTGTCAAGGCAGTCAAAAGTCTCGCCGGGGGTTCAAGGGGAGGGAAGTCGACTCTATCTCTTGAAGGGAGCGGTAAAGTCTTGCAAGAAAGAGGTGGGAGTGGAAATGTGGGAGCACCTTTCAGACATGGGCTCTGCCATGGTTTCCCTTTCCTGGTTACTGGAATGGCCTTCATCACTGCCTTGGTACTTACACTTTTTTTTTTTTTTTTGAGACCGGAGTTTTGCTCTTGTTACCCAGGGCTGGAGTATGATGGCATTATCTCAGCTCACTGCCACTTCCGCCCTGGGGTTCAAGCGATTCTCCTGCCTCAGCTCCTGAGTAGCTGGGATCACAGGCGTGCACCACCACATCCGCTAATTTTGTGTTTTCAGTAGAGACGGGGTTTCTCCATGTTGGTCAGCTGTTCCTCGAACTCCCCACCTCAGGCTGATCTGCCCTCCTTGGCCTCCCAAAGTGCTGGGAGTATAGGCGTGAGCCACCGTGCCCGTCCCACTTTCGTTGTTGTTGTTGTTTGTTACTGTTTTTGAGATGGAGTCTCGCTTTGTCACCCAGGCTGGAGTGCAGTGGTGTGATTTCAGCTCAACCTCAACCTCTGCCCTCCTGGGTTCAAGTGATTCTCCTGCCTCAGCCTCCCGAGTAGCGGGGATTACAGGCACCTGCACCCGACGCCTGGCTAATTTTTGTATATTTTTTTAGTTAGAGGTGGGGTCACCATGTTGGCCAGACTTGTCTTGAAACTCCTGACTAAAGTGATCCGCCCGCCTCAGCCTCCCAAGTGGCTGGGATTACAGCGTGAGCCACCACACCCCCCCAGCCTACTTCTACTTTTATACTTCCCTTTCTGTGGCGCTCACAGAGCAGCTTGGGAAAACAGAAACAGATTGCTTGTGCCCTTCCCTGCCTCTTACTTCTCAGGGTCGAACACCAGGAAGCCAGGCGGACAGCCCAGTCTCTTGCCACAGACGCCTCTCACTCAACCTCTCTTCACGCCCCAGGCTCCTTTTCAGTTCCTTAACAAAACCAGACCAAGCCAATTTCCTTCCACCTCAGTTCTTCCTGGAAATTTCTTTCTCTGACTTGTCATGAGTTTGATTCCTGTTCATTCTTCTTGCCCCAGCCTAAATGTCTCTCCCTGGACAGCACCATCGCTGGATTCTGCTCTAAAAACCCTTCCTGAACTCCTGTCATGCTCACTTGTGCCAACGTGTGCCAACTGGATGAAGGCTGCAGAAATGTGATGTTAGGGTGAGGCGTGAGCAGCCAGGCACGAGGAGAACAAACACTGTAAGATCTCACTCATACGAATGGCCCTAAAAACCAACAACCCTGGCGCACAGTGGCTCACGCCTGTAATACCAGCACTTTGGGAGAGGTGGGCAGATCATGAGTCAACAGTTCGAAGACCAACCTGAACCCCACTCTACTAAAATACCAAAATTAGCCAGGCGTGGATGGCACACACCTATATCCACGCTACTCAGGAGGCTGAGGCAGTAGGAATCTCTTGAACCCGGGAGGTAGACGTTGTTCAGTAAGCCGAGATCGTGCATTGCATCCAGGCCTGGGCGGCAGAGGGAGACTCTGTCTCAAAAAAAAAAAAGCCACAGGGCTCTGGGTGGTAAAGGACAGGTTGGCAGAATGATGGGACCGCACCAGAGAGCTCTGTGTTTAATCACAGCTGGCCTGGCATGGTGGCTCAAGCCTATAATCCCAACACTTTGGGAGGCCTAGTTAGGGAGGATCATTTGAGCCTAGGAGTTCAGGACAGCCTGGGCAACACCAGTAAGACTCTGTCTCTACAAAAACTTTTTAAAATTAGGCCAGGTGCGGGTGGCTCACACCTATAATCCAGCACTTTGGGAGGCTGAGGTGGGAGATCACCTGAGGTCCAGGAGTTTGGAGAAGCCTGGCCAAAATGGTGAAACCCTGTCTCTACTAAAAATAGAAAAATTAGCTGGGCATGGTGGTGCCCGCCTGTAATCCCAGCTGCTCGGGAGGCTGAGGCAGGGGAATCGCTGGAACCTGTGAGGTAGAGGTTGCAGTGAGCCAAGATCGCCACCATTGCACTCCAGCCTGGCAACAGAGCCAAGACTCTGT